ACTATATCCGCTCTCCCCGGACCCCTCATTCACTATATCAGCTCTCCCCAGACCCTGCATTCACTATATCCGCTCTCCCCGGACCCCGCATTCACTATATCCGCTCTCCCCGGACCCCTCATTCACTATATCAGCTCTCCCCAGACCCTGCATTCACTATATCCGCTCTCCCCGGACCCCGCATTCACTATATCCGCTCTCCCCGGACCCCGCATTCACTATATCCGCTCTCCCCGGACCCCGCATTCACTATATCCGCTCTCCCCGGACCCCGCATTCACTATATCCGCTCTCCCCGGACCCCGCATTCACTATATCCGCTCTCCCCGGAGCCCGCATTCACTATATCCGCTCTCCCCGGACCCCATGTTCACTATATCCGCTCTCCCCGGACCCCGCATTCACTATATCCGCTCTCCCCGGACCCCGCATTCACTATATCTGCTCTCCCCGGACCCCGCATTCGCTATATATCCGCTCTCCCCGGACCCCGCATTCACTATATCCGCTCTCCCCGGACCCCGCATTCACTATATCCGCTCTCCCCGGACCCCGCATTCACTATATCCGCTCTCCCCGGACCCCGCATTCACTATATCCGCTCTCCCCGGACCCCATGTTCACTATATCCGCTCTCCCCGGACCCCGCATTCACTGTATCCACTCTCTTGGACTCTGCACTCATTATATTTGGTCTCCCTGGACCCCACTACACCTGACCTCTGTCTGGACAGTGCTGACTGGCCCTGTGCTGATCACATGCACTCTCCCAAGCAAAAAAAAAAAAAGAAAAGAAATACACACCAAACTGAGCATGTGCAGAGTGACTCCACACAATATGTCTTATCAGGAGATAAGAAGGGGACACTGGAAGAAGGGGAGGATCAGAGAAGACAGGATCAAACAGCCTTTGCACACCATGCAGAGGATTAACCCCTTAGGTTCCTCAGTTAGTATAACAAGCATGCTTTACTGCATCCACAGACTCTGGGCCACATGAATAGTCCTCCATTATCCCGGCATTTCTAGGCCTCCCAGACCGAATACTCACTCAGGGAAACAATGTGCAGCTGTGAGGACCCACTCACTGGAGATCAAGGAGCCACCGCACAAATGGGCCCCATCGTATCGCAAGCTGACCTGCCACGGCCAGCGGCCCAGAGCTGCGTTCTGTCCACCCACAATTCTGTCCACCGCCATCTTCCTGCGACCGCAGTCTGAGAACGCAGGAAGAAAAAAGGATCAGAACAGAGAGGAATGGAGAACAAAAAATAAAATAGAATCTAATTGATTCTATTCTATTCTATTCTATTCTTTGATTTTCTATTCTGGGACTGGAGAGGGAAGGGGACTGGGACTGGGGCTGAAGAAGAGAGGGGAGGGAAGGGAAGTAGACTGGGGCTGGAGAAGAGAAGGGAGGGGAGGAGAGGAGAGGGGGAAGGGAGGGAAGGGGACTGGGACTAGAGAAGAGAGGGGAGGGAAGGGGACTGGGACTGGAGAAGAGAGGGGAGGGGAGGGGGAAGGGGACTGAGACTGGAGAAGAGAGGGGAGGGGAAGGAAGGGGACTGGGACTGGAGAGAGAGGGGGGGGGGGGAAGGGGACTGGGACTGGAGAAGAGAGGGGAGGGGAAGGAAGGGGACTGGGACTGGAGAAGAGAGGGGAGGGGAAGGAAGGGGACTGGGACTGGAGAAGAGAGGGGAGGGGAGGGAAGGGGACTGGGACTGGAGAAGAGAGGGGAGGGGGGGGGGAAGGAAGGGGACTGGGACTGGAGAAGAGAGGGGAGGGGAGGGGAGGGAAGGGGACTGGGACTGGGAGAAGAGAGGAGAGAAGAAGGGAGGTGAGGTGAGGTAACATGAGGAAGAGGAGTGGAGAGGAAGGAAAAGAGAGGAGAAGAGAGGAAAGTAGGTGGAGAGGAGAAACAATGGATAACAGAAGCAGAGGAGAGGGAAGGGGGGGAGGGGTGATAGAAGGGGATCTAGGAGGGATGAGCAGAACCAATCTCTCCCTATACTGCACTTACCGTGACATTGGATGGAGAGGAATCTGCCGCTGGGACAGTCGCTGGGGGAGAAAGCACAATCAGTAACTGGCACTGAGGACGCAAAAACAAAATGAATGCCAGATTCCGACATCTTCTTGTGGTTGGTCTTTCCAGTAGAGCCGTGCTGCAGGCTGTAATCCGCAGAGCCCGGGTTCTGGTCAGAGTCACGGGTCAGAGATGCGGGGTCAGAGGCACGGGTCAGAGTCACGGGTCAGAGTCGCGGGTCAGAGTCACGGGTCAGAGTCGCGGGTCAGAGTCACGGGTCAGAGTCACGGGTCAGAGTCACGGGTCAGAGTCGCGGGTCAGAGTCGCGGGTCAGAGTCACGGGTCAGAGATGCGGGTCAGAGTCACGGGTCAGAGATGCGGGTCAGAGTCGCGGGTCAGAGTCACGGGTCAGAGATGCAGGTCAGAGTCACGGGTCAGAGTCACGGGTCAGAGTCACGGGTCAGAGTCGCGGGTCAGAGTCGCGGGTCAGAGTCACGGGTCAGAGTCGCAGGTCAGAGATGCGGGTCAGAGTCGCGGGTCAGAGTCGCGGGTCAGAGTCACGGGTCAGAGTCACGGGTCAGAGTCGCGGGTCAGAGTCGCGGGTCAGAGATGCGGGTCAGAGTCGCGGGTCAGAGACGAGCAATACTCCCAGTGTGATTACCTTTCCCTTCTGTACAAAGGTGGTGTGAGCTCCTCCTACCCGGAGGAGAGCGGTTCATGGGGACGCACCCGGAAGTCATTTAGCTACATCTGGGTTTGTATTTTTGCCTTGAAGTCAATGGCAGAAACTCACCAAACTGTCAGAACCTCTAGAAGTCTTTTGGCGCTGGAGAGCTGAGATTCCTGGACACAAAAATATCCCGACGTGCCATTGGTTCCCGCCGTCTCCCCGCGCAGCTCCTGATTACTCAGAGATCTTATACCAGAATACAGAGAAAGAGGATTTCTGTGACACCAACTGAGAGTTATAGAGGAAGGAGCGGAGTCCTCCAGCAGAGCAGAGAATTTCAGGAGAGGAGAGTTATAGAGGAAGGAGAGGAGTCCTCCGGCAGTGCAGAGTATTTCAGGAGAGGAGTTATAGAGGAAGGAGCGGAGTCCTCAGCAGAGCAGAGTATTTCAGGAGAGGAGTTATAGAGGAAGGAGCGGAGTCCTCCAGCAGAGCAGAGTATTTCAGGAGAGGAGAGTTATAGAGGAAGGAGCGGAGTCCTCCAGAGCAGAGTATTTCAGGAGAGGAGAGTTATAGGGGAAGGAGCGGAGTCCTCCAGCAGTGCAGAGTATTTCAGGAGAGGAGTTATAGAGGAAGGAGCGGAGTCCTCCAGCAGAGCAGAGTATTTCAGGAGAGGAGAGTTATAGAGGAAGGAGCGGAGGAGTCCTCCAGCAGTGCAGAGTATTTCAGGAGAGGAGAGTTATAGAGGAAGGAGAGGAGTCCTCCAGCAGAGCAGAGTATTTCAGGAGAGGAGAGTTATAGAGGAAGGAGAGGAGTCCTCCAGCAGAGCAGAGTATTTCAGGAGAGGAGAGTTATAGAGGAAGGAGAGGAGTCCTCCAGCAGTGCAGAGTATTTCAGGAGAGGAGAGTTATAGAGGAAGGAGCGGAGTCCTCCAGCAGTGCAGAGTATTTCAGGAGAGGAGTTATAGAGGAAGGAGCGGAGTCCTCCAGCAGTGCAGAGTATTTCAGGAGAGGAGAGTTATAGAGGAAGGAGTGGAGTCCTCCAGCAGTGCAGAGTATTTCAGGAGAGGAGAGTTATAGAGGAAGGAGCGGAGTCCTCCAGCAGCGCAGAGTATTTCAGGAGAGGAGAGTTATAGAGGAGGAGAGGAGTCCTCCAGCAGTGCAGAGTATTTCAGGAGAGGAGTTATAGAGGAAGGAGCGGAGTCCTCCAGCAGTGCAGAGTATTTCAGGAGAGGAGTTATAGAGGAAGGAGCAGAGTCAGATTGAGAGGAGAGTCGGATTGAGGGAGGAGTGGAGTCCATCACCTGATAAATCCCATCTCTTCGCAGCTCAGTGCAGCCACTGCGTCATTGGCGAGGGACGAGCACACCAGGCGCCAGCTCCGTTCCTTTTCATCGTAGACGGTGAGCCTGTGATCGGGTGAATTCACCTGGACTGAGAGAGCACAGAAGCAAGCCTGGTGAGTATTGGATACAATGTCCTGCGTCCCGTCCAATCAGAGATCGCCTTTCTAAACTAGATTTTCTAATGATGCGATTCAGCATTTTAAAATGGCGCCCCAACGCTATGCGGCATTGTGAGTCTGTCGGAGGAAACGTTCGGTGTCCCCGCCTGCGGGTGACACCCTGTTACCAAACTCGGTGAGCGACATTCCTCCGGCCTCCAGAATTATTCTCACAATCTGGAGTATAAAAAAAAAATATTGCAACATAAATCTCTATGGGGATCCCAGATCCGCTCCCCCTGCAGGACGAATTACCGATGTAGATGTTCGATGTCTCGTTCTTCAGAACATACGTCACTGCAAAAGAAACAGACAAGGATGAGGCCGAGTCCCAGCAGGCCAATATATAGAACGCAGGCATTAAAGGTGCCAATGGTGTCACTAGAACCCATCTCAGAAGTTCACTATATTGCCCAAAGTTTTGGCCCCGCCCTCCCAATCATGTGATTCAGGTGTTCCAATCCCCTTCATATCATATGATTCAGTTGTTCCAATCCTCCCCCATATCATGTGATTCAGGTGTTCCAATCCCCCCCTTATCATGTGATTCAGGTGTTCCAATCCCCCCCTTATCATGTGATTCAGGTGTTCCAATCCCCCCCATATCATGTGATTCAGGTTTTCCAATCCCCCCCATATCATGTGATTTAGGCGTTCCAATCCCCCATATCATGTGATTCAGGTGTTCCAATCCCCCCATATCATGTGATTCAGGTGTTCCAATTCCCCCCATATCATGTGATTCAGGTGTTCCAATCCCCCCCATATCATGTGATTCATGTGTTCCAATCCCCCCCATTTCATGTGATTCAGGTGTTCCAATCCCCTCCGAATCATGTGACTCAGGTGTTCCAATCCCCTCCCAATCATGTGATTCAGGTGTTCCAATCCCCCCCATATCATGTGATTCAGGTGTTCCAATCCCCCCATATCATGTGATTCAGGTGTTCCAATCCCCCCATATCATGTAATTCAGGTGTTCCAATTCCCCCCATATCATGTGATTCAGGTCTTCCAATCCCCCCCCCATTTCATGTGATTCAGGTGTTCCAATCCCCTCCGAATCATGTGACTCAGGTGTTCCAATCCCCTCCATATCATGTGTTTCAGGTGTTCCAATCCCCCCATATCATGTGATTCAGGTGTTGCAATCCCCCCATATCATGCTATTCAGGTGTTCCAATCCCCTCCATATCATGTGATTCAGGTGCTCCAATCACCTCCATGGACACAGGTGTATACAATCCATCCCCTAGGCATGCAGACGGCTTCTACAAACATTGGTGAAAGAATGGGTCGCTCTCAGGAGCTCAGTGACTCCAAGCGTGGTCCCGTGATAGGTGGCCACCTGGGCAATAAGTCCATCCGTGACATTTCCTGGCTACTAAATATTCCACGCTCAACTGTTAGTGGGATTATAACAAAGTGGAAGCAACTGGGAACAACAGCAACTCAGCCACCAAGTGGTAGGCCACGTCACATGACTGGGCGGGGTCAGCGCATGCTGAAGCGCACAGTGCGCAGAAGTCACCAACTGCCTGCAGAGTCAATAGCTAAAGACCTCCAAACTTGGTGTGGCCTTCAGATGAGCCCAACAACAGTGCGTAGAGAGCTTCATGGAATGGGTTTCCATGGCCGAGCAGCTGCATCCAAGCCTTCCATCACCAAGTGCAATGCAAAGCGTCGGATGCCGTGGTGTAAAGCACGCCGCCACTGGGCTCTAGAGCAGAGGAGACGTGTTCTCTGGAGTGACCAATCACGCTTCTCTGTCTGGCAATCCGATGGACGTGTCTGGGTTTGGCGGTTGCCAGGAGAACGGTACTGGCCTGACCGCCCCCCCGGCCTCCAACGTGAAAGAAGCCTAAATTACGTACAGAACGCCGTATACCAATATTTAACGGATCATCGAAAAATAAAGACCAAAAAACGAAATCGCGCTTCGTCTTACCTACTGCCCAGATTGTGACTCCAACTCCAGCCAATGAGATGAAGATACAGACCGCCATTCCCAGAATCCTCAGCGGGGTCCAGTGACAACCTTTGCTCACTAGCGGCAGAAGGAGGCAGAGGAAATACCATTGAAATAATGTCGCCAATTCAAACAAAAAGATACATTGTATCGCCCGACACAATTCTACACAATTCTACACCTTCTTTTAAAGCTTTCCATCGGTTTTCGATCAATGGCGCGGAATTTAATTCCTCACAGCCGAACCCGCCCTCGAGGGTTTTACATTTTTGTTTTCTGAATTTTAATCTGCAATATTCACCAAAATAATCCCCGGTGATCCTGCCAAAAAGGGTCCTTGTTCAGGCACTTCCTGTTAATGGGTGACAACACTGGCCCTGCCTCCTAAATTTTGCTCCTGTGTTGTCACCCTGACACCCGAGCTTCCGATAGAGGCTACAAGCGGCTGTTACAGCTCACATGACGCAGTTCGAATGTGGAATTTGGCGCGAGCGCAAACCTCTTCCAGGGTTGCGAGCATTGCCGACTCGCATCGGTACCTGGATGGACATGTCTGGTCTGTTTAGGTTACAAGTCGAAATTCGGACAGCGTTTTCATTATTCGGAGATTCAGATGTATCCGAATTTCTGAATCACAAGAGTAACGGATTTCAACTAATCTGAAATAAATTATAACAAAACTAATTATCCGAATTCAAATTTGAAAATGAACATATTGCAATAAATACAGTGAGTTATAAAAGCGAAATAAGATGATGATTCCTGCTTAGACGGCTTTCTAGAATAGAATAGAAAAGAATAGAGTAAAACAGAATAGAAATAGATCCGAATAAAATAGCACAGAATATTATAAATCAGAATAGAAAAGAAAGGAATACTGTAGAATGGAATAAAATAGAATATAAGAAAAGAGAATAGAATAAACAAAATAGAAATGAATAGATCAGAATAAAATAGCAAACAGAATATTATACAACCGAGTAGAAAAGAAAGGAATATAATGGAATAAAATAGAATATTAAAAAAGAGAATAGAACAAAAATATAAATTAATAGATCAGAATAAAACAGCACAGAATATTATAAAACAGAATAGAAAAGAAAGGAATAGAATAGAAAAAAATAGAATATAAGAAAAGAGAATAAAATAGAAATTAATAGATCGGGATAAAATAGCACAGAATTTTATAAAACAGAATAGAAAGGAATAGAATGTAATAAAAAAGAATATAAGAAAAGAGAACATAATAAAATAGAAATGAATGGATCAGAATGAAGTAGCTCAGAATATTATAAAACAGAATAGAAAAGAAAGGAAATGGAATAAAATAGAATAGAAGAAAAGAGAAGAGAATAGAATAAAACAGAACAAAAAATAAAGGAATAGAATAAGATAGAATAGAAGAATATAAAATAAAGGAATAAAATAAAATAGAATATAAGAGAATAGAATAGAATAAAATAGAAATTAATAGATCAGAATAAAATAGCACAGAATATTATACAAACCGAGTAGAAAAGAAAGGAATATAATGGAATAAAATAGAATAGAAGAAAAAGAGAATAGAATAAAATAGAATGAATGGATCAGAATAAAGTAGCTCAGAATATTATAAAACAGAATAGAAAAGAAAGGAAATGGAATAAAATAAAATAGAAGAGAAGAGAATAGAATAAAACAGAATATAAAATAAAGGAATAGAATAAGATAGAATAGAATATAAAGTAAAGGAATATAATCAAATTAAACAGAATAGAATATAAAAAATGAATAGATTTGAAAGAAAAGTAAAATAAATAGAATAAAGTAAAATAGAAGAGAAGAGAATAAAAAAACTGAATCAAATAGAATAGAATAAAAAAAAAAAAAACAGAAGAGAATATAAAAAAAATAGAATTGAAGAAAAAATGAAGAAAAAAACAGAATAGCATAAAATAGAAAATAAATGAATAGAAAAGAACAGAATAGAATAAAACAGAATAGAAAATAAAATAAAAGACTAGAATATAAAAAAATTGAACAGAATATAAAATAGAGGAGTGGATTGGAATAGAAAAGAAAAATGAAACAGATTAGAATAGAGTAGAAAATAAAGGAATAGAATAGAATGGGAAAAAAATAAATAGAATAGAATTAAATAGAAAGAGAGAACAGAAAAAAACACAGAATGGAATAGAAAATAAAAGAATAAAATAGAAAAAAAAAAAAATAGTATAGAATATAGAGGAGTAGAATAGAATAGAATAGAATAAAAACACAGAATGGAATATAAAATAAAAGAATATAGTTGAATAGAACAGAATAGAACAGAATAGAACAGAATAGGACGAGTCTAGCCATCTCCTGAAACTCGAATTTCAAAAGTCGAATTTTAATTTTCCAATTTTGAATCGGTTAAAAAAAAACGATTGTATGAAACGAATTCCCGGAAAACGAATCCTCCGAACATCGCGAATATGACGAAACGATTAACTTCACGAATCCGAAACGACGCCGATGTTCCCGCCCTCTGCGTCTCTATACCTGGAGGCTCCACCCACATAGCTTTTATCTGATTTTTTTTTTTTTTTTGTTCGTTTTAAATAAAGTGCTGGGCGACTCACCGTCTCTCTGTACCATCTCTGAGGAGCGGTCGTGTACCATCCCAGGAATGTAATGAGAGGTCCGGGCGCCCTGGAAGAGACCTGGTTAGTATCTGTCATTATCTCCCCATAAGGGCTCCTTTGTTTGCTCCCCCGTCCCCCCCCCACCCCAGCATGTCCTCCTATGACCCGTCTTCGGGCCGCACAGCACACTCAGCAGATAATTGGACCTCCACTGATCCCCTGTATGGGCCGGATCACACCACACAAACGCGTTCCGGATGCATTTCCACATGTGCGTTTTTGACGCGTTTCGGTTTATTTTTTTCTCTCTCTTTTTTATTCAATTTAAATTGGGAATTTTTGGTGCGTTTTGGTGCATTCCAGTGCGGTTCTGTGCAGGAAAGTGCAGCCGGTTCTACTTTTTTTTCCCTGCATCCGGAACGCTCCGGAACTGCAAGCACTGATGTGACCTATGACACTGACAACCAGATCACCGACTTTCTGTGCGTTTTGGATGCAGGGAAAAAAATGATTCTTCAATGCATGGATTCCTGACTGCCTAGGTACTTGATTGCATGGATTCCCGATTGCATGGATTATTGATCACACAGATTCCCAATCACACGGATTATTGATTGCATGGATTATTGATTGCATGGATTGCCAATCACACAGATTCCCGATCACACAGATTATTGATTGCCTGGATTCCCGATCACACAGATTCCCGATCACACGGATTATTGATTGCATGGATTACCAATCACACAGATTCCCAATCACACAGATTCCTGATCACATGGATTCTTGATTGTCTGGATTCCCGATCACACAGATTCCCAATCACACAGATTCCCGATCACACGGATTATTGATTGCATGGATTCCTGATCACATGGATTATTGATTGCATGGATTCCCGATCACACAGATTCCCGATCACACGGATTATTGATTTCATAGGTTCCCAATCACACAGATTATTGATTGCATAGGTTCCCAATCACACGGATTATCGATTGCATGGATTCCCGATCACATGGATTATTGATTGCATGGATTCCCGATCACACAGATTCTCGATCACATGGATTTTTGATTGCCTGGATTCCCGATTACACGGATTCCCCTATCACATGGATTCTTGATTGTCTGGATTCCCGATCATACGGATTCCTGATCACACAAATTCCCGATCATACAGATTCTTGATCATAAGGGATACCCAATCACATGGATTCCCGATCATACGGATTCCCGATCACACAGATTCTTGATCACAGAGATTCCAGATCACACAGATTCCCCTATCACACAGATTCCCAGTCATACAGATTCCCGGTCACACGGATTCCCGATCATACAGATTCTTGATCACAGGGATTCCAGATCACACAGATTCCCCTATCACACGGATTCCCGGTCACATGGATTCCCAATCATACAGATTCTTGATCATACGGATTCCCGATCATACAGATTCTTGATCACAGGGATTCCAGATCACACAGATTCCCCTATCACACGGATTCCCGGTCACACGGATT